TTGAAATGAAGGAGAATGAGGGATTAAATAGGCTGAGGAAAATAAAGCCGTTGAAGAAAGCTGATGTTCTGTACCAGAGAGAATTAATCGATTAAATTAGGAATTTTAATCGATTAAAGTGTACAGAAGCGAAAAGGCTTGAAACCAAAAGTGGAATTAATCGATTAAAAATGAGGGAATAATCGATTATTCTGTTCTGTTTGAACTAATCGATTAAATGAATAATTTTAATCGATTAAGTTGATTTGCCTGAGAAAACCAACGCTGTGAAATTGGATCTAATCGATTATTTTAGAGTAAATAATCGATTAAAGTAAAAAAATAATGCGCAAACATGAAGGGCCCAAGCCAAGCGCAATTGGAAGCCCTTTGGCTTCTAACTCGTTGTTTGAGACAGCGAGAATAACGAAACGCTCCTCAAAGAAATAATATCCCTTATTCAATGAATTTGAATAGGGGAGAAAAGGTGAGTCCAAAAATTATTTTGTGTGTCAAACGATGTATACGAAAAATATTTTGAAACTGACTCAGTAAAAAATATTTTAGACAGAGGAAAAGTAATTTTTCAACTGACTCAAAAATAATAATTTTTATCCCTCAGAAAATAATTTGATTGTGCACAAGATAATGTCATCCTTACAAAAATTCCTAGACTCAATAAAAATAAAAAGTCTTCGGAGTCTTCGCTTCACTTCAAAAAACTGCGTAGGGGTGAGCGTGAATTTTATCGCCGAAACTTCTTGATGCCCTTCTTTGCTTTTCTCGATCCGAAAAAAAAGTTTTCGAATATCGATATAATCATCCTATTTGTCATTCATCAAAACAAAAAAAATAATCCAAAAAATAATAAAGGGGTTTGAACTCATGTCCAACAATTTCCCCCTTTTTGATAATGACAAACATAGTTGAGAAAGAGCAAAGTAAGAGTTCAGAAAATACTTCCTTTTAAGAATAATTCCCCCTGTAAGGTTAGAGAAGTGCAGAAAGAAAAAAAAATAATTATCGGAGTAATAAGCGGAAAAAAAATTTTGAAAATAAAGTTTTCTCAACGATCCTTCCTTCCCCCTTTTGGCATTATCAAACGATAACCTTCCCCCTTAAACAATGCCGGGATATTGAAGAAAAAAGATGGCAAGAGTTTTCTTTAAAATGCCACAAGGGGACAATATGTTCTAAATAAGAACAATATTGCCACACCAACAATGATATTAATATATAAACAGTTAATATCAACTAGCATCATCGAAAGGAAACATCATCATCCACCAAAAGTTTTCGAATATCGATATAATCATCCTGTTTGTCATTCATCAAAACAAAAAAAATAATCCAGAAAATAATAAAGGGGTTTGAACTCATGTCCAACATCCAGACTAGTGAAGCCTAATCCTCCTTCAGCTTTGGGAAGACAGAGAGTGTCCCATTTGTGCCAGTGGTACTTAGGAATTCCATCATTGTTACCCCAAAGAAAGTTATTCATCTTTTGATTCATGCTCTTGACCATACTTTTAGGTAAGTTTGTGCATCCTAGTGTGTGAAGTGGGATTGCACTTAGGACATGCTTAATTAGGATCATTGTTCCACTTTGGGAGAGGAGTTTCTTGTACCAGCTTTGGAGTTTCTTGTCAAAATGAATGAGGAGATCAGTGCAGTATCTTTTCCTATTGATTCCTTTGTGGATGTGTCCACCCAGGTATTTGAAAGGGAGGCTGCCTTTGTTCATATTCAGAACATTCTCCATCTTTCTAGCTTTAGATGCTAGGGTTTTGGGAGGGGGGTAGAAGTAGCACTTGCTGTGATTAATGGTTTGGCCAGAAGCTTCCTCATATTCCTTTAGGAACTTTGAAAATTTAATGAGATTTGAGGATGATCCATTGAGGAAAATGAGCAAGTCATCTGCAAAGGCAAGGTGGTTGATAGGTTGGTAGTGTCTGCCCATAGTGTAGGGACCAATGTGTTTGCTGTTAATAAGGTGATTAAGCCTTCTGCTGCAATTATGAAGAGAAGAGGAGATAAGGGGTCTCCTTGTTTCAGTCCTCTTTTAGGGTTGATGGCTTTAGTGGGGTACCCATTGTTTTGGATGAAGTGTTGGGTAGCCTTGAGCTTGTTTGAGATAAGGGTTCTCGTCTTAGATCCAAAACCAAATTTCTGCATGATGGCTTCAAGGTAGTCCCAGGAGACCCTATCAAAGGCTTTTGACATGTCCAGTTTGATAGCTAGGTTTCCCCCTCTGGCTTTGTAACCTATTCCATGAATCATTTCTTGGGCAAGGAGGATCTGATCCTGGATGATTCTTCCTTGGACAAAAGCCCCTTGTTCCTGAGAAATAATTTTAGGAAGGACTTTCCCAATTCTGGTAGCAAGGATTTTAGAGGTTACTTTGGCTATGAAATTTGAAAGACAGATGGTTCTGTAGTCTTCAAAGGAGCCTGGGTTGTCTTTTTTGGGAATGAGGATTATGTTTGTTTTGGCCATGGATCTTGGGATATTAATCTTAAGGTAAAATTCCTGGATAGCTTTGGTGACATCCTCTTTGATTATGTCCCAGCAGTATCTGAAGAATTCCCCTGTGAAACCATCAGGACCAGCTGCACTTGTAGGGTCAAGGCTCCAAACACTGTCTTTGATTTCCTCTTCTGTGGGTAGAGCATCTAGGAAAGAGTTATCCTCATGTGTGATTAGGGTTGGAATGTTACTGGTGAAAGTGTCAATTTTATCACTTTTCTTCCATGAAAAGAGATTGGAGTAGAAGGAGTGGGCCTCTTCCAACATTTGATTTTGATCCACCAGCCAC